TACTCTGAGTGATGCACTACTCTCTGATAAGCCACTTAAATGACACGTGTACTTCAGAGGCTTTTAGGCCGCATATACATAATGGGAAAAAATTCTTAAATCCTATATTTAATCCTATATCCAATAAACATATTGCTCATTTCTTTTCGCTATGAAATCTACACAACTACAACATTTTTAGGTAATGTAGTTTACTCTAACTGTGATCAGATAATCACTGACTTTCTCAGTGGCTTAAGTACATTTGCTTTATTTTTCAGCCCTTGATTCTCACAAATCTAGCTGTTCTCAAGTCTGGCTTCCAACAAATATGAAAAAGGAACACCACAATTAAGATAATACTATTATTATGCTGCACCCCATATAAAGAGGAAACTTGCATTTTTAATGATCCAGGGCACCCTTTTCTTTTACACTGGTTTAAGTCTCCTCAAGTGCCCAAAATCGATCCCCGCTAGGTTACAGAAGGTTTAGTTATAATCCATTGAAAAAACAAACAAACTTTTGGAAACAGCTTGGCTCAAGGAGTCCAATGGCATAAAACAGAAAGAACCACAGACAATAAATGCAACGTGAGTCTAGTCATATTTGTCTAAAGTGATGCTTAGATTTTATTTATTTTAAATATACTTTTTTATACTTACATATTCAAAGCGATCCTTACAGAGCTGAACCATTAGGTGGAGAAAAACGAGTGCAGAGAACCACAGACACCACATGACCACCTCCTCCACTGTCTGGACGTTCAGTACACCAAAAATGAAGATGAACTTGTAGAAAATGAAGTTCCAGAATTTATCTTTCAGGTGCTGATGAACCATAAAAAAACAAAAGAGGAGACATGAAATGAGATGAGTGACCATTTGCTTCTTGTTTGAAAGAAGTAAAAACAGCTGTAACAACATAGACTTACCTGCTTCTCACTGACTCTGAGTGGGCCGAACACCACGTACTGAATCATTTTAGCAATTAACATCAAAGAGCAGCAGAATGTGTTCACTAACACCTGTAGGTGTGCAGATAATAAGGTCACCATTAGTTTTTGTATGAACTTCATAATCACCATCACGTCACACATTGCACTAAAATGACTCACCCACACAAAGAGACTGTCTGTGACAAGATACCACAGGACAGTTGTTGCCAGTTCTGTGTTACTAATATCATTCTTTAGAAGTTCACGCTCCACCTCGGTGGAAGGCTGTGCCTCATCCGTTTCCAAGGCCCCAAATCCCGGGTCAGTTACTGTGGTGTAGGCACTGAAGATGCTACCAGCAAGCAAAGCCACACTCAGTGCTGTGTAGGTCTGCAGGCTGGGCCAAGGAAACCTCTCCAAAAACAGCAGAGGCATTGCAATCGCAAGCTACGAGTCAACCTCTCAGCTTGTTAAAATGGTGTCAGTCCAACAACCTGTGAATGCAGTAGGGACGTTAAGCCAACTTTACGGGACAAAGAGTAAATATTACGCAAATAGAGCAAAGACAGGATGCGATGGCAGCCATTTCGGCAACGCACGAATTTTGTGTTTTAACAACTTGGACACACAAAGTGCAAATGTCTCTTTCTAATTTTTAAAACATTAGTTCCCCCCCCCCAAAAAAAAAAAATAATATACGTTTACTAAACATTTTGGCTTTTTGGCTAACCCACACTCAGCCGCCAAGCAGTGCTAACTTCCTTTTAGCAATAATTACTACCGTGTTTATGTAAGTGGAATATTAATTAAATTAGTCAAAGTAAGTAAAAATGGCTTATCGTCATCAACGAGCAACACCTTTACGGAACAAACGGGAGTTCACTCACATAACATTAGTTACTTATCTGGCTAATGTTACCTAACACTTAGCCTAGGGGTTAGCTAATGCTAGCCACCGTTAACAACCATCAAACGCTAGACTTGTATTAAATGGTCACTTACAGTTTGTCACAGATTTAAATAGACACAATATCCGGCTTTCCCTGTTGCAGTCAGTGTTGAACTTTTAGTCTTGTGGCGCTGGGAACACGATACTTGACAACATCGTCATGTTTATTTCACCGAGCAGACAGCTGGCTGAAAGCTGAAGGAAAGGCTTCCCATCTGCGCAGCGTAATAGCGTCATCACGACAACTTTAAAGTCACGGTCATTACAAAAAATATTTTCATTGAGCGGCTTAATTTAACTAATAACTCGTTCCCCGTGATTACGAAAAAATGTTTTTATATATATTTTTGTTTTAATCTTTTGATTATATTCTGGAAAAATAAAGCAGTGTGTAAGCTGTGGGAGTTTCCAGAACACGCAAGAATAGACGTTATTTCTTGGGATTGGGTGTATTTTTGGTGCAAACAACAAAAATAGAAACGACTTCACCTCTAGGCTAGTGTTTATAGTACAATTATTTTTACATTTTAAACCATTTTGTTGTACTTTCAAACTGCTTTTAGTGTGTACACACTAAAGACACTTTATTGCACTGCATTGTTTATATATTTCACAATGTTATACTTAGCCCCTTAATATCCAGTAATATTTTTTTAATTGTTTTTCTTCTTTATTTTCTTTCTTAAAAATATATTTAGTATGAAATTTTTAAATATTTTAGTTGTTATTTGAAAGTTAAATGTATGCTTATTGTTAGTTATTGGACTTCAGATTCGTCTTACCGCATTAAGACATTTGTTTTATCATATTTTATTCACATACTTAACTGTATACCTTTCTACATATTTAATCTATTTGTTGTATACTTGTTTTGTTTAATGCTTTTTAGTTGCTGCAATAAAAAAAAATCTAAATTGAAGATAAATCAAGCATTTATCTTACCTTTGTTTTCTGCGTTGTGTATATCAAAACACTAACCTCACATTAACCTTGCATTTTTCAAAGTGTTTTGTGCAATATCGGTAATGTCCACAAAGAAAAAATATTCAACTATATTTATTATAGTTTTCCTTGAAATTGCGGCACTAAAGCTATATGCTTAGATCTGTTTTGTTGTTGTTTGAAGGTAATATAAGATGATAACGTTTTCAGGAATTTCATTTGGCATATGTAAAGTAAATTCGTTAAAAATAGATTTATAATTAAAAAAAAAGAGATTTCTTTTAGTTGTACAATTAAAGGGAAATATTTATACCTAAAGTGTTTGAATTTATTTGTTACGATAAAAGAAAATAGTTTCTCTGACTTTGGGTGATACTTACAATACCACCCAAAGTCCACTGGAGGTCACTGTTTCTCCACTGAATTATATTAAGACAGATAAATACGCTTAGATAATGTCATCGTTCAGAAATTTACCATAGATGTTCTTTTACATAAATTGTGTAACTAGTTAAAGGTTCCTCAAATAAATCTGATAAAAGAAGTGGGGTTACTGATTATTGATTATGTAACCAAATAAGTCCCTGCAACGAGGGCATGTGGTTAGTTTGCCGGAACAACAGAATCTAAAAAGGCAATTTATCATATGTCACCCCAGGAAAGACAGGTTTAACATGATATTATTGCCTAATCAGTTGTAGAACTAATACAGCACAGTACAAGTGCTGTAACACTGTTATTATGATCCGCTTGAGGAATTAGCTTCACTATGACTGTCAAAAAAAACGTTTCAGTTGTGTAATGGCCTGACTTTAAACCCTGTTTCCGTTTACAGTGAACCTGTTATGAGAAATGATTTGACCTCACACGTGTGATTAGTTTCAGTTCATGAGTTTAACATTTCCTGCTAAACTAACTACAGTTTGATAGTAATTTATTCATCAAATTTGCTCAGTTTTTGTCATTACAAATTTAGCAATAAGTGACATCTTCGGGTATATTTTTCTAATTATGTATCCACAGGTTTTAATTATTGCCTTCGGAAGACATACATACAGAAAGAGAGATGTGTAACATTTCCATTGTTTAAAGGCAGTTTAAACGCAGTTTATGAGGGCACAGCATTGGGGATCAAGTAATCTAGTTAATCTAATAGATTAGTGCAATTCACTTGTATTTTATTTTTATTTTTATTCCTATTTATTCTATTTATCCCCTTTGTATATTTTATCTATATATGTCTTTGTATTTATATATGTGTGTATATATATATAATATTCTTAACTCTGTAACTTCTGTTGGTGCTGTGCTTTTTGGAAAACAAATTTCCCAGAGGAACCCACCCGAGGGATTAATAAAGTTTTATCTTATCTTATCTTATCTCTCTTAATATATCCCACCCACTAACAGATGCTATGATGAAGCTATAATCAGTTGTCATACTCTTATCCCAGATTGTTGTATGGTTCACTTTATGTGTATTCATCACTCGCCATCATTTCTTAGAAGGCTGACAAATCTTTTCTGATTTACTAAAGTTAAAGTTGACAGTCTTCCCTCATTTTTTACACATTAGGCCACTCTTTTTTTAATAATCGTCTATCACATGGCAGACTTGTAATGCTTGTGTAAAAGTGTAATACAAATATAATCATCTAAAAGAGGATAAGAATTTCATTTATTCACATCTGCTTTGACATCCATATTTTAGCTATAGCCAATGATTGAACAAAAATCTAAAAAGCAAACAAACTGCAACAATCAGTGTTAATTTTCTGTGAAACTCACTTTGAAATTACACTTAAAGTGTGTCAGATAAAAATGATGTTCACACATCCAGCATTAACTTAAAAGAAGTGCCATAACAAAATGATAAATCTGCTGCCTATGTTAAGGTGGAACTGACACTTTTCTAAAAGTAAACTTAAAACTAAAAAACCACGGGGTAAGAAAACAGGACTGGTTTTTGTTGTCGTAGATGACTGTGTGATAAGATTCTTAAGTACTCAATAATATCCCTTTCCTGTAAGGTGTGCCTCCTGTTAGGGAAGGAATTATGGAAATTATGACAAGTACAATATGTTGTCACATGTCCTGTAAAGGGTTGTGCAAGAATTATAGTTTCTGTTCAATGTAACTATAAGAGGAAATGAATCCTGCTTTTACAGCACTTATTTTGCTCTTGATGCCGAAATCACTTCGAGCACATCAAATTGCAGCATGAACCACTCAGTTGAGTTGTCTCCTTCAAAGGAGTTTGATGGCAGCATAGCAGTGGCGTGTGTGATCCTCGGTTTGTCCTTCCTGGTTGGAGCTCCCGGGAACGTGCTGGTGATCTGGACCATCCTGAGACACGTCAAGCAGCGCTCCCATACTGTGGTGATCATTCTGCACTTGGCTGTTGCAGACCTGCTGGTTCTCATCACCCTGCCTCTATGGATCTACTCTCTGGCTCACACTTGGGTGTTTGGAGCGGTATTGTGCAAAACCATAGTGTACACTGTGACTGTGTGCATGTTCGGCAGCATCTTCTTGATCACTTTTATGAGCGTGGAGCGCTTTCTTGCCATTTGTCATCCATTTCTGATGATGCGCTGGAAGACAAAAAGCAATTTAAAAATATATCTTGTACTTTTGTGGCTGCTTGCTTTCCTTCTAGGAGTGCCTGCCTTAACACAGAATCTGGAAAACACTGATGGAAATGTGCAATGTTTCACCAGGGAATTAAACTCTGACACCAACACAATTATCATCCTTTGCCTAGAAACCTTGTTGGGCTTTATAGTTCCTTTCATTGTTCTATGTATCTGCTACTGTCTAGTAGCTGCACAGATCAAGAAGATGAGTTTCAATTCAAAAGAGAAATCCATGGTTCTCATCCATTCTGTAGTGATTGCTTTCACAGTGTGCTGGTTGCCTTACCACGTTATCAACATTATTGATCTGATTTGTATCTTAAGCTGGCCAGACACTGATGACAACTGTGTATCAAAGCCTATCATCTTCATAGCTGGTGCCCTGGTTTTCATCAGTAGTTCGGTAAATCCTGTGTTATATGCCTTCTTTGCAAAGAACTTACAAGGGACTCTTCCAGACTCCCGACTGGTGAGGCTATTTAAGGAAATAGCCACTAACACAAACAAAGTGAGGGAGCTGGCAGTGCAACAGCAGACAGACCAGAGGGCAGCAAGTACACAGGAAGAGGTGCTATCTGACTCTGTGTGTGAAAGACTGTGATGATGGTAAAATGTGACACTTGTCATTTACTATTAATCACGAAGGATTAAATGAAAATTTACTCATATTATTGCCATGTGTTGCACTCCTCCATTGTTTTTTATGTATTTTTTTAATTCACGTAATGCAGTCAAAATACATAACTTTGAACTTGTGTTTTGAGAAATGTCTGTGATAAGTATTTTTTTTTATTCTTAAACATTTGATATTGTCCATTATTGTGTAAGGTGTTCTGTTTGTCATCCTACCTGAAAAAATAAAAAGTGCTACTGAAAACTGCTCCAAATGTCATTTTAACTGCTGTGACTACTGTATCGTTCTATCAAACTTAAATGTAATGCACAATTTCTTCACTATTTCTGCCAAATACTGAAACAAAGCCATTAATTCCTGTCAACCATATGTATAGTCTTTTGAAAAAGTCTAGTGTCTGAACATGTTTGTAAGTCAATTATATTTCCACATATATGTGCCATCATCCTTCATCATATTTTCCTAGCAAGCTGATGAATATTTCTTGGTTCACTGACATGAAAGATGAGAATCTCTATGTTGTTTAGATATTACGTAACACCTTTTCCAGTAATGCTGCATGCCATGTAAAGACCTGCAAATGAAACAAAACAAAAACAAAAATACACAGCAGAGAATCCATTTTAATTTTACTTTTACAATTCCTTAGTGACAAAGGTAGAATGTTTTTGGAAATAATTCATAATCTGCTAGTTTTTGTATGTGCTAGTGGTTCTCTAAGTCTAAGACGGTGGTTCTCAAACTGTGGGTAAGACAGCTAGGTTTAAAAAAATGAAGTGAAAGTAACATTAAAAAAAACAAAAGTCAGGGAAAATAAACAGAAGAAGAGCTTTTTGTTGCTTTGTGTGACTTTTAATCGAGTCATTTTCTATTTTAATCTTCTTTTCATCGTTGAGGTTTTAACAAAAAAAAAGTGAGGTGTGGAGTGTGAACTTTTTTCGGTTTCTGAATGTGAACTTTTGTTTTGGCCTATGATGCAGCAACAAAGCAGAACCAAAATCTAAGAACCACGGGGGTGGTGAAACAGAAAAGTTTCACAAGCTAAAATAATTTTTGTGTGCAGAGTTGTTCCCTTGATACAGCAAAGTCAATCATTTATTAATTATTCATCCATTTACAAATTAATATCATATCGGTTTGTTTAAAAGTATTTGATAAACACATTTCTACATTTTTTTTTAAAAACTAAACTGCAACCTGAAGTGATGCACTTCTGGCACATGCATGAGTCATCTCTGCTTAAAAAGCCCTGTTAGGAAACTCTTTTCCTGAGCTTTCCACACAGCTTTAAAGGGGAAGTGATGACTTAGAGTAATCTGTTTTTCTTTTCATGCAGACACCACAGTCAGCACATCGACTTGCACCATGAACAACACATACCAGCTGTCTTCTCAAGAGGAAATGGCCCCTTCAGAGTTTGATGGTGGGACAGTGGTGGCGTGTGTGATCCTTGGTTTGTCCTTCCTGGCTGGAGCTCCTGGGAACCTGCTGGTGATCTGGACCATCCTGAGACATGTTAAAAAGCGCTCTCACACAGTGGTGATTATTCTACACCTGGCTGTTGCGGACCTGCTTGTCCTCATCACCCTGCCTCTGTGGATCTACTCTCTGGCCCACTCCTGGATATTTGGGGTGGTATCTTGCAAAGCCATGGTGTTCATGATCAACACTTGTATGTACAGCAGCGTTTTCCTCATCACCCTCATGAGTGTGGAGCGTTTTGTGGCTGTGCGATATCCCTTTGCTTCAGCTCACTGGAAGAGGAAACAAGCTCTGAATAAAGTACTGCTGGTTCTGTGGACTGCAGCACTCTTGTTCAGCATACCTGTCATCCCAACTCAGATTGTCGACAAAGATTCTGGTGAGGATAGCTGCCTGTACCGTAAATATACTTCTGTGACCCAGGAGCTGGTGTGTGTCTTGTTAGAGACACTGGTTGGCTACATAATACCCTTCTCCATCCTTGTGGTCTGCTATGGCTGCCTCTGCAGCCGGATTACTCGGATGACTCTCAAATCCAAACGCAAGTCCACCATCCTGATCGCCAGTGTCGTGGTTGCATTTAGCATTTGCTGGACACCTCATCACATAGGAAATATCCTCTCGCTGATCATCCTGGGAACTGAAAACTCCTACAAGGATGTAGCAGAACATTTGGAAAACGTGAGGGCCACTATGGTTTTTGTCACTGGAGCCATGGTCTTTATCAGCAGCACAGTTAACCCCATCCTCTACATGTTTGCAGCTCGCTCCTTCAGGAGCTCCCTCCGTGACACGGGCATCCAGAAGCTCTTCCGCCACATCTCGAGCACCTCCCCAGGTGAGGGAAACAGGGAGGTGTCCTATGTGTCCAAGAGACCCAGCAATCAGACCAGCACTTCTCATGTGCTATCTGAGTCAAAAGATCAAATAGGTGTGTTGATGACAATGTGTGAAAACAATCCATCTGGGCAGTGAAATTGAACAATGTCTGTTTGGTCTGTGTAGATACTCCTGTGTACTCAGTATTCTTTTTCTGAATAAAATAAATGTTGAAACACTGATGTTTATTTGTATGAAATTGCGACAAAAAATAACAAGTATATCTGTGCTACACTTGCCTAACTTAATAAATTACCAATTTTGCATGTTTGTATTGTGAATATATTTATAGAAATGCTATAAGTTATGTACTAAATGTCCATAATGACATGGGCCAAATAACCAATAAAAAATTCTATATGTAAATAATGTCTCAGTTTTGTAAAATACAGTTTGTTTCAATTACTTTGTTGATTCCATCAAAGAGAAAATTAATAAATAAATTCAAACCGCCTGCAAGTGTGGGATTATGATTAGACAAAGCACAGTGGTTGTTATTTCCTGTTATTGCATCTTTCATTTATTTATTTATATGACCACAAGGAGAACTTCATCAGAGATCTGTCTGCCTGCTTTAATATAAGGATTTGAGCATTTGTAACCTTTTTGCCTCATTCTGTAACATTTCTGATAAACTTTTTAATCTGATAATATTTTATAAAAGTGTTCTTTTTTCAGCCATGACAGATTAAAATTGACCTGATAGTCTACTTCAGACAATAGTCATGCTTTCAACTTCCTCTCGATGAGTAGATTGCCAAATGAAGACTAGCGTGTTTCCTTTGCTAAGCAGCAAAAAAGCGGAATCGTGCCCTGATGTTTGTCACATTTGCACATGTTGGGAGTGACAGAGTTCAACGTCCAGTTATTCACAGACATTTTTAAAGGCACACATATTAACAAATTAGTCGTGTTAGTTGTAGTATTTTACGTTTATCTGTCCCCACAGCTACACAGCAATAGTTTTGATTAATTTATCGGCCAGAAGATGGCAGTGGTTGCTCTGTACATTTGTACTTAAGGGGTGGCTGTTGTTCAAGAAGTAGGGCAGGTCACCTGCTAATCAGAAGGTTGGTGGTTTGAGCCCCGTCTGCCCCTGTTTGCATGCCAAATATCATTGGGCAAGATACTAACCCCAAGATGCTCTCCAGATGGATGCTTTCTGATGTATCCATAAGTGTGTGAATGTTAGATATAGAGGACTTACATAGGCAAAAGCAAAGGAATGAGGTGCTTGTATGATTGGGTGAATGAGGCAAGTTGTATAAAAGCACGTTGAGTGCTCAGTTACAGTGTTCATGATATGAATCTGTTGTGGGAACAGGAACCAAGCTTTTCCACTCTTTCTCCACTTTAGAAATACACATCTACAGAGTTTGTTCATGATTTAGCCCCCACAAGTCTTAATCTCAGGCATATACAGTGAATTCTGTGAATTAAGTCACTTAGCTTGTAAAAACATCATATTTTGGCAAAGTCATTGTACAAATGCAGCACAAAAACCTTCAATTATAGATGTGATTTCATTGTTTTAAGCCACACAGCTGGAAGAACTGCCATTCCAGTCTAATAATTTTCCTGTCTGTTTAAATATGAGATTAACAAGATCTGATGTGAGAGCATTCACATTTCACTTAATTGTTTGGGCATGAGTAAGTCAGAATTATTTTGAACATGACAGCGGAAAATTACAGCGCTCAAAGGGTGTGACAAAACTGAGCTCACACTGGTAAGCATAGTTGACTTGCTTGACACTTTCTCACAGAATGAGGAAGCAACTTGTATATCATCATCAACAGTGTGGTATGTGCTTGCTGTTCCCATTGCCTTTCATAAGGCATATTACTGCATGCTTACCACATTTAAGTTAGGTTTCAGTCTCTGCTATATAATAATATTGTGTAGTGTGAAGGTTTTTCCAAGAAAACCTGGCTTATACTAATAAAGCCGCATGAATAAGCAGGTTTTTTTTTTTGCTATTCTTTTAAGTCATACTTACCTTACAGGACAAGACTTGCCACCTGGTACATCAGAGCTGCCAATCTCTTCCAAAAAATGTACACAGAAGTGTCAAAGGTTTTAGCGCTGGCTTTCTGGAAGGTCATCCACTTTACAGCCTATGATAAAAGTTATGCCAAAGCACATTATTTAGGAGGATATTTGGAGTGTGAATGTGACATGTTGTCTTTCTCAACTTTTTCACCAGTTACACCTGCTGAAGGGAGTTAGCTTGTGACTTTACTGTCCGAGTCAGTCTACATGCATAAGCATGCCCTCAGTATGATGCAATGAGGATAAATGTTCTTTGCTGTTGTGTTGAAATATCATTATATGTCTCAGATTTCAGCGTTTTCCAGAGTGTCCCTTAAGTAATCGGACTGGTTTGGCTGGAAATAGTGATTCGACATGAGAAAGGAGACACAAGGAATTACTCTTGAGATAGGGGAGATTTATTTTGAGTTAATGGACATGAAAAGGCAAAAAGCCTTGCATTCACTGCAGTTTGTTGGCCCATAGCAGGCAGAACAGGGAGTGTCAGTAGCAACAAAACTTTGGATTTCTGGGAACTGGGCCAAAGACTGGTGAAAACTTCACTGCTATTTTGA